GCGTAGACGGAGTAGAGTGGACAGAGTGGGTGGGGCAGGGTGGAGGGGCGGGGCGTAGACGCAGTAGCGTGGACAGAGTGGGTGGGGCAGGGTGGAGGGGCGGGGCGTAGACGGAGTAGAGTGGGTGGGGCGGGGTGGAGGGCGGAGTGCAGGGCATCTGGGGTGGTTGCCACCCCGGGGAGCTCCCTCCAGCCCTTCTGCCCGTCCACTCCTTCTCTCCACCCCATCCCAAGGTCGCTACCGCACAGCACTCACCGTGGACCTTACTGGGGGAGAGGGCGGATGTGGACAGGCCCGGGGAGCTGTGCGCGGGCAGCGCAGGGCCCGGGCCCGGCCCCGGCGGAGGCCCGTTGTACGTGTCCATGGCCAGCTTGTGCCGGAAGGCTTCTTCCTTGCGCCGGTTGGCAAACCAGTTGTACACACGCACCTCCGTGACCAGGTTGGAGCCCAGCCCTTGTGCCTGAGACGGTGACACCCCCCTCTGGATGCACTCCGCCCTGCAAAGATGGCACCCATGAGCCCCCAGGGCAGACTCAGAGGAGGGAGGACCTTGCTGAGAAGTGGAGTCGGTCCAAGTGCCGGATCTGACAGATCTGGATTACAGTACCGGTCCTGCTGTGTGACCCTGGTCAGGTGACTTAGCCTCTCTGGCCTCAGTCACAACGTGTACAAAACAGCCATAGGGTTGTAGATGAGATGATCGGAGATGAGTGACCTCCCCCCCCATGTTGCTGGGGTGGTTGGGGGATGCTGAGAATTCAATTCAAAACAATGGGAAGAAACGGACTCCGCTCAGTGGACAGCAAGAGTCCACTCACGGACTGGTGGGCCCCCTGGGGGCCCAGAGACACCTCCCTCCCCGGCCTGGCCTCAGCCCCGCCAGGCCACCACCCCGACAGACCACCCCACCTATTGCATTCCTCCACCAAGGCCTCCCGCTCTTCCTTGCTGGGGTTCTTCTGCCTCTCGTAGGCCTGGAACAGGATCTGCTGGGATGCTGGGCCCCACTTGAACCGGTTCCTCCGTCCCTTTTTGGTCGGCAGCTCATCGCCTGTGGGCTCTTCAATCAGTCCCCCCTGGCCCGCGTGGGTGAATTCTGTCGGGACCGAGAGCGCCGTAAGTTGACCACGCCCACCCTCACGGTCCGCTCACCGGAACCCCCCCCCCCCCATCCTCTGTCTTCCCCCAGGCGCTGAAACCGAGCAATTGACAGCTAAGACTGAAGGCATCGAATCTGGACTGGAGCCGTGAGTCAGTGGTAGAGAGCTTGCCTAGCATGCAGGAGGTCTTGAGTCCAACACAAAGCCAAGCCCCATCCACCGCTAAAAGAGGACTTGGTGCCATAAATCCCGGCACTCAAGAGGCAGAGGGGGGCAGAGCTCTGGGAGTTCAAGGCCAGCCTGTTCTGTATGCCGAATGCCAGGTCAGCCAGGGCTACATAGAGATGCTGTCTTAAACAAAACGACAAACAATTCATTAATTAACGTGCAACATTCTTCACAGCTGTGGCCCGTTCACACCCACTCACACTGCCTCTGAGGTAGCATCTTGCTTCTGTGCACACTCACTGAGTGGCCACAGGATGGCAGGAGCCAGGACCAAGACCTGAAGTACCAGACGCTATGGCTTGGTCCCTAAACCTGAAACACTTTGTGTATTTTTAATATTTTTTGTTTGTATGTGCATGTAATGTGTGTGGGGGTGCCCACAGAGGCCTGAAAAGGGTGTTGTAGGTGACTATGAAACACCTGATGTGGGTGCTGGGAATCAAACTTGAGTCCTCAGGAAGAGGAGCATTTTTTTTTGAGACCTCATCTATCTATGCAACTCTGTCTGTCCTAGAACTTGGTATATAGATCAAGCTGGCCTCAATTTCACAGAGATCCGCCTGCCTTTGCCTCATGGGTGCTGGGATTAAAGGCGTGTGCCACCACACCTGGCCCTAAATATGTACTTCTTTTTTTGTTTGGTTTGGGTTGTTTTTGTTGGTTTTTTTGGTGTTTGTTTATTTGTTTTTTGAGACAGGGTTTCTCTGTGTCACAGGCCTAGCTGTCCTGGAACTGGCTCTGTAGACCAGGCTGGCTTCGAACTCACAGAGAGCCGCCTCCTTCTACCTCCTGAGTGCTGGATTACAGGCATGTGCCACTACTACCTGGCTAATATGTACTTCTCAAAGATGAACTTCAGTAACTACATGATAATATCAGTGTAATGGGTTACCCAAAAAATTTAAAGTTAAAACCACAATACAATACCACCATGTGTACATCGTGGTTAAAATGAAAAAGACCCACGTTAACAATTGTTGACGAAGATTCAGAAGCACCTGGAATGCTGAGACCCTGCTGGTTGGAGAGCAAAACATAACGAGTGGGCAGGATCTACTAAAACACACTAAGTCCGCAGCCAGTAGAATCGTGTGTGCAGCTTTAGCAAAAAGCGCAAGTGAGAATGTTTGGAGCAGTCCCGTTCACAGAATCAAAAGATCAGAAGCAATCCAAATGTCCATTAAAAAGGGATAATGTCAGCCAAGAGTGGTGGCGCACGCCTTAAATCCCGGCACTCAGGAGGCAGAGGCAGGTGGATCTCTGTGAGTTCGAGGCCAGCCTGGTCTACAGAGCCAGTTCCAGGACAGCTAGGCCTGTTACACAGAGAAACCCTGTCCTGAAAAACCAAACAAACAAACAGAAAAGAACAATGTCTCCCCACGAGGTCACAGTCACACGTGAAAAGGAGCTTGGCCCGTGTGAAATGACAAGGGACCCCGTAGAAGGGACTCGCGGGAAAGAAGCCACTGTGTATATCTCAGTTTGTGACAACTCTGGACCGGCCGTAAGCAGCCGCGGTGGAGGTCGGACCGGTGACAACCCTTGCTGGAGGGGTTGCTAGGAAACGGCACTGTGCAGGCCTTCATCCAAAGATGTGTCAGGAGAGCATCCTCACAGCTAAAATCCCAGCCCGCTGGAGGCCGAGGCAGGAGAATTGCTATAAGTTTGAGGCTAGCCTGGGCTGCATAGCAAGTTCCAGGCAAGCTGGGGCAACAGAGGGACCTTGCCTCCGAGGAAGGAAGAAAAAGAAAAAAAGAAAGGAGGGGGAGAGGGAGAAGGGGGAAGTAAGTTAATTTAGACCAGGCTGGCCACTGTGCCCAGATGAATTGTACACTTCAGATCTGTGGACTGGGGCTGGGTGTGGTGGCACATGTTTTTAATCCCAGTACCCGGAAGCTGAGGCAGGCAGATCTCTTGTGAGTTCAAGACCAGCCTGGTCTACATGGTGAGTTCCAGGCCAGGAAAGTGAGATCCTGTCTCAAAACAAAAACAATAGCAACATCAAAAGCTCACCACCACCACCGAAAGATTTGTGGATTTTTGTATATTAGGCCTATTTTAAAGGATTTTTGTTGTTGTTGTTGTTGTTGTTATTAAAGTAAGGCGTCCAACTGAAAACCGGAAGACCGTTTTCCTCTCTGAGGTTGCTGAGCTAGTAGGGTGACAGCCCAGGGCTCCCAGGACCAGTCTGTGCCCCTATAGGGGACCCCCTGACGGGATGCCCACAGAAGAGAAAACCAGCCCAAGGAGCCATGTGATGGCAGCTGTGAGCTCGGCCCCTGGGGGGTGAGGGTAGAGGCCAGGAGGAGCCGTTCAAGAAACCACCCATAGCTGGGCGGTGGGGGCACACTCCTTTAATCCCAGCATTGGGAGGCAGAGTCTCTGTGAGTTCGAGGATCTCTGTGAGTTCGAGGCCAGCCTGGTCTACAGAGCGGGATCCAGGACAGGCACCAAAACTACACAGAGAAACCCTGTCTTGGAAGAAGAAGAGGAGGAGGAGGAGGAGGAGGAGGAGGAAGAGGAAGAGGAAGAAGAAGAAGAAGAAGAAGAAGAAGAAGAAGAAGAAGAAGAAGAAGAAGAAGAAGAAGAAGAAGAAGCCATCCTTGGCTGTGTAGCGAGTATGAGGGAGAGCTGGCTACACATGAGACCCTAGTCAAAAAAAAAAAAAAAAGAAGGAAGGAAGGAAGGAAAGAGGAAAAGAAGGGAGGAGGGAAACACAGCCAACCCAAGCTACGAAGTGTATGAAAAAGTCAGTTAAGGCCCTGGAGGCAGCCATGCCTGAAACAGCCCTGGATTGCTCATTCATGAGCAATAAATTCCTTTTTAAAAATTCTTAAATCAGTTTGAATCGGCTTCTGCCCCACTTTCCTGAAAGAGCTCTAATACTTTGGGCTCATCTTGAACATTCTTCTCCCATCCTCCAGTTTCTCCCTTAAAGTTCCAAACTCTAGGCTGGGGGCTGGAGAGATGGCTTCAGCACTGGCCGCTCTCCCAGGAGTCCATCCCCACACCCACGTGGTGGCTCACAACCACCCATAACTTTAGCGCCCAGGGATCCAGCGCCCTCTTCTGGCCTCCCTGTGCACCAGACACACAGACATAACACTCACACACACAAAATAAAATCGAACCAAACCCCTTGGGCTGCAGGGTTACAAAACAGCTCCTGTGTGGAAGGTTCAAGGAACATTTCGGACTGGAGGCAGAAAGATGGTAAGAGCCAGAGGCTCAGGGAATTTGCCGTAAGACTGTCTCTTAGGAATGTCAGACGTTACACCCATAGTCTCACCAAGACAATCACCTAAACATGAGCTGAACATGTTTGGTGGACAAAGACATCAGCAATGGACATACACAGCAGTCAGGGAAAGAGGAGCATGAGACCTCAACCCTACACAAGACCTACAGGCAACTTAGGAACACTGACAGCAGGAGACAGAGTCTTCCCCAGAGAAGAGCACACAGACTGGTCATCCAGTACCAGATGCTCAGCCTAAAACACCTACAGGGGCTGGAGAGATAGCTCAGAGGTTAAGAGCACTGACTGATCTTCCAGAGGTCCTGAGTTCAATTCCCAGCAACCACATGGTGGCTCACAACCGTCTGTAATGAGATCTGGTGCTCTCTTCTGGTGTGCAGACATATATACAAACAGAACACTCTATACATAATAATAAATAAATAAATCTTTTAAACAAACAAACAAACAAACAAAAAACACCATACAGACCAAGCAGGTTATATTTAGGGATACATATCTACACACACATATATGCATGTAACAACAATTAATGAAAAAAGAGACCATGCATTTGAGAGAGAGCAAGGAGAGGTAAATGGGAGGGTTTAGAGGGAAGAGAGGGAAGGGAGGAATGATGTAATTACAGTCTCAAAAATGAAAGAAAGGGAGAAAAAGAAAAATTAAATAAAATAGATCTTTAAAAAAACAAACAAACTCCGTCTGGTGGTCCAGTTCAGGTCATCCGGTGGCCAGCACTTTTACCCCCCAGCCATCTCATAACTGTTCAGTAACAATTTTTGTTGTTGTTGATTTTGTTTTTTTTTTTGTTGTTGTTTTGGTTTTTTTTGAGACAGGGTTTCTCTGTGTAGCTCAGGTTGTCCTGGAACTGGCTCTGTAGACCAAGCTGGCCTTGAACTCAAAGAGATCTGCCTGCCTCTGCTGGGATTAAAGGCGCACACCACTGCTGCCTGGCTCCATCAACAATCTTAAAAGCACTTACTCTGCACCCCAACATCCCACATCTAGGAATTTTTCTATGTGGATGTTTTTTTGCAAAAAAGGGTCATGAGAACCTAGCAGAAAAACTCGAATAGTACCTCAGTAAGTGGCTAGTTAAGCAAGCCACAATATCTCCCAATAACAGCCAACTATTAGAAGCCTTAGAAAGAGTGATATCAAGTTGGATGTAGAAGAACCCACTTGTCATCCTGGCACTTGGGAGGCTGAGTCAGCAAGATAACAGGTTCAAGGCCAACCTGGGCTACATAGTGAGACCCTGTATCAAAAAGTAAACAAAGGTCTGGGAACTCAGCTCCATGCATGGTAAAGCACATGCCCAACGTGTGTGAGGCTTTGTGTTCAATCCTAAGTATGTTAGAGAGAGAGAGAGAGGTATCAGAAGTTCATCAGTTGCTTAAGTCATCAGTTCTCAACCTGTGGGTCAAGACCCCCACAGGGGATGCATATCAGATATTTACATGAGGATTCATAAAAGTAGCAAAATTACAGTTATGAAGTAGCAATGAAATAATTTTATGGTTGGGGGTCACCGTGACATGAGGAACTGTATTAAAGAGTCACCGAATTAGGAAGGCTGAGAACCACTGCTTAAGTATGAGTGTCTGAGCCTTCTCATGCTGTTCCTCTTGATCGCGACACCCTTCTTTATACCTCCGCAGGGACACTTTAAGACCTAAGTAATGGTCATGCTTCCCATGGGACCTTCCTGAAACCTCTGCTTCCTGAGATAGAAGGACTTAGTCTCCCCTCCACGATCTGCTCACCATTTTACTCAGTACTGAGCCCAGCAAACAGTAAGTACTCGGTTAATACTATTGCTGGCTTTTGTCATTAGCATACAAAATCCGTGTCTTACTAAATCATAGTGATCTCTCTCAGTTTCCCATTCATTGAGCAGTGCGTTCCTGGAAGGAGAGATCCGGCTGGTGTATCTGCAGATCCCCGGGACCGATACGGCTCCCTTCCCTCGGTGCCTTGGGCAGAGTGACCAGTACATTTGGGGACGTCCTTCTGCTTCCTCCCAGTCTCACTTGTCTGATGGGGGTGGGGACACTCCCACCCCCCTGTGCGCTATGGATGGAGAGCTGCGGGCCCTGCCAGGGGGGACACAGGCTGGGGTCATTACTTACGCTGGGCCACCTCTCGCTGCTTGCGGACATACCAGGTGTACAGAGCAGCCCGCTTCTGCGTCTTCATGGGGGTGCCCTTGTTGAGGTGCTGTGACAGGTGGGACTGGTTGAGACCGGTGGTGTCGACCACCTCCCGCTGTGGGATGTTGTGTTGTTGCAGATAGGACTTGACCATCTTCGCCACGCGCCATGGGTCCTCCCTGGAGGGGAGTGAGGACAGGGTCTGTTCAGTGGCCCTTCAAGACACCTCGGGTGAGGCTGGACCCTGCTCTGTGAGTAGGACCTGTACTAGGTCCCGTTCTAGGACACCTGGACACATGCACGGATTCCCACCGGAAGCAGGGAAGACCCTCACCTGTGACTCCTTCGGAGTTCCTCCCCTCTTCTGAACCTGCTCACCAGTGTGGGCGCGTGTGTGCACTTGTGTGCGCGTGTGCGCACGTGTGCTACAGTATGTGTGTGGAGGTCAGTTTTCTCTTTCCACCTTTATATGGGTCCGGCAGATTGAACTCAAGCCATCAGGTTTCTGCAGCAAGTGCTTTGCCCTGCTGAGCCCTCTCATAGGCCTTGTTGAGTTTTAAACAACTGTTAAGGGTGGGAGACCTGTCTGGTTCCCAGAACCCAAAATGGCCTGACACAGAGTGTGCCATGGATGATATCTGAGTGAATGAGTGGATGGAGGACGGACGGACGGACAGACAGACAGACAGATGGATGATGGATGATGGATGGATGGATAAATGGATGGATGATGGATAGATAGATAATGTATGGATGGATGATGGATGGATAAATGGATGGATGATGGATAGATAGATAATGTATGGATGGATGATGGATGGATGATGGATGATGGATGGATGGATGGATAATGGATGGATGATGGATGATGGATGGATGATGGATACATGGATGCATGGATGGATGGATGGATGATGGATGGATGGATAAATGGATGGATGATGGATAGATAGATAATGTATGTATGGATGGATGGATGGATGGGTGGATGGATGGATGGATGGATGGATGGATGGATGGATAATGGATGGATGATGGATGATGGATGGATGATGGATACATGGATGGGTGGATGGATGGATGGATGGATGGATGGATGGATGGATAATGGATGGATGATGGATGGATAATGGATGGATGATGGATGATGGATGGATGATGGATACATGGATGCATGGATGGATGGATGATGGATGGATGGATGGTGGATGGATGATGGATGCATGGATGGATGGATGATGGATGGATGAATGGTTGCTTGGGTAGATGATGGTGACTTGTTTGGTTGTTTTGTAGACAACTTAACATAAGCTACAGTTATCTGAGCAGAAGGGGACCACAAATTGAGAAAATGCCTCCATAAGATTGGCCTGTAGCTGGGCAGTGGTGGCACACACCTCTAATCCCAGCACTCTGGAGGCAGAGGCAGGTGGATCTCTGAGTTCAAGGCCAGCCTGGTCTATAAATCGAATTCCAGAACAGTTTGGGGCTTCACAGGGAAACTCTGTTTTGGGGTGGGGATAGGGGAGGAAGATTGGCCTGTAGGCAAGACTGTGGGGGCATTTTCTTAATTAGTGATGATTGATGTCAGAGGGACCAGACTTTTGTGGGGTGAGGCCACCCCTGGACAGGTGGTCCTAGGATATATAAGAAAGCAGGCTGAGGCTGGGTAAAGGTGGTGCATAATCCCAGCATTCAGGAGGCAGAGCTGGGCAGATCTCTGAGTTCAAGGCCAGCCTGGTCTATATACTGAGTAGCAGGCCAACTGGGTCTGCGTGGTGCAGTTCTGTCTCAGAAAGTAAAAGGGGTGGGCTGGGACTTTGCACGGAGCCTGTGCCCATCCTCCATCTACTTTAATCAGCTCGGGTTGCAACAGTGAGAAACACAATCTACACAGGTTCAGTGCAGAGGCAATTCAATAAGGTATTCTCAGTCCCCAGCTGGTTGAATCTGCAGGTCTGGGACTCAGTCACGCAGAGGACTGGCTGCATCTAACATTTCAGACTGCACTGCAAACTGGAAGCCGGTCCCCAGCACTCTGAAGCCAGCCGGCAGGCAGCCTGCCTCCCAGCACTTCCCTGCTCCCCAAAGTCAGCTCTGCCTCACACCACACAGCTTGGAGAATGCGGGTCTCAGAGGCAGGGCCCCGGACAGTCTACCAGGGGTTCTCAACCTGTGGGTCACAACCCCTTTCGCAGGGGTTGCCTAAGACCACTGGAAAACGGAGAATTGCATGACCGTTCATCACAGTAGCAAAATTACAGCTAGGAAGCAGCAATGAAATAATTTTACAGTTGGGGGTCACCACATGAGGAACTGCACTTAAGGTCGCAGCATTAGGAAGGTTGAGAACCACTGGCTTAGACCCTCTGGACTCCCTCCTGTTATCAGCGGGTTCCATACCCCGGGGTAATCTAAATTGGTACAGCAAATAAAAAGGGACAAATGGCTGCTCGCGCTCACTGGGAGCCGCCTGAGTCTCACAGAAAACCCAGGAAGTACGCTTCGTTTGGACCCTGGCTCCACCTCGGACGAAATTCTAGTTCAGGAAAGTGAAATCTTGTCCCAGGTTGATCTAGCCGGGGCTCAAGGATATTTCTCATCCCTGGGGACCCCCCACCCCCTGCTCACTCCTCCCCGCCCCCCTTTTTCACCCCGTGTTCAGGGGCTTCGGGGAACCTCACCCCTCCTCCCTTCCCTGGGTGCCGGTCAGGGCTAGGAGGGAAGTGGGGGCAAAGTCCAGCTTCTGCTAACATATTTATCTGGTGGCCTCCCTTCGCTGGCAAGGGCAGCCCTCCACCTGCTCTCCCCGCTCCCTCTCGCCCTCACCTTTCTCCTCCCTCCCCTGCAGGGAGACTGGTCACTTCGCTCTCAGGACAGGTGGGGCTTTTCTCATATTCTGCCAAGGTGTCTCTGATTCATATTCTCTCTCTGTTTCTGTCTGTCTCCCTGTCTCTGTCTCTCTGTCTCTGTCTCTCTCTCTGTGTGTCTCAGTCTCTCTGTCTCTCTATCTCTCTGTCTCTGTGTGTGTGTATCTCAGTCTCTCTGTCTCTCTGTGTGTGTATCTCAGTCTCTCTGTCTCTCTATCTCTCTGTCTCTCTGTGTGTGTATCTCAGTCTCTCTGTCTCTCTATCTCTCTGTCTCTGTCTGTCTGTCTGTCTGTCTCTGGGTCTCAGTCTCTCTTTCTCCTTCCCTTCCTTCCTCTCCCCCTCCCTAACCTCACCCTCTCTCTCCCCCCTCCATCTCTAATTCTCTTGATATCTCCTATACCATGTCAAATAGAATACTATACACCGCAGCCACCCCCCACAAACACACACACAGAAACAGAAGACAAGCATTTGAATGGGAGCGGAAGTGTTCAAAGTGACAGGAACTTTTCTTTTGTTTAGGGGAGGGTGGCTGAAACAAGGTCTCATTGTGTAGCCCAGGCTGGCCTGGAACTCACAGAGATCCTCCTGCCTCTGCCTCTCCAGTGCTGGGATTAAAGGCGTGTGCCATCACACCTGTTTTTTAAACAGTTCTTTTCACATCAGCAGAAAGTGATTATGAAATGCCAGGCAGAGCCAGGGGTGACCTCAGCATTGAGAGAGCCTGTCTCAAAACAATATATGAAAACTAAAAAATGCCAGCGCTGAAAGGACTCAACCTCTGTCTTTTCCTGGGAGAAGTCATCTGTGCCACTTTTGGGGGGCAGATTTACTGAATTAGTCTGTTTCTGTCTCCCTCCCCCTCCCTTCTTCCTTTTCTCCCTCCCCCTTCACACATGTGTGCAAGTATTATGCACACTCATTCTGACTCAGCTGGAAGAAGTAGATGAGTCCCCAGTAGGGATGAAGGCTTTGGGGCCGAGTCTGGCCCACAGCAAGGATTCATAAGTGGAATGATATAGTTATCATCATCATCATCATCATCATCACCATCATCACCATCACCATCACTGTGGTTCTGTGTACCCCATGCCCACAGCAGAACCCAGAAGAGTGATGATCTGCCTTCATCTTCTCCTCCCTATTCTGGAATCAAACAGGTGTCCCCAGTGTTAGGCCTTTGGTTCTCTGATATCCAGAGCCATGGAGTTAAGAGACCGGACTAGAGAGGAAGCCCAATTCTCAGTGGGGGTGGAGTGGGAGTGGGGCTTAGATCTAGGAAGGTTCCCAGCTCTGCTACCCACTCTCTGAATAGCCTTGCAATGTGGCTTAACATCCATGCCCCTCCCCCATTTCTTCATATATAAAGTAGGACTAATTTCCTATTTCTCAGGTGGGGATCTAGCTCAATTGGTAAGCACTTGCCAAGCATGCCCGGAGCCCTGGATTCAGTCCCAGCATCACATAAAACTGGGTGCCAGTTGTGGTGGCACACACCTTTAATCCTAAGGTTCAGGGGGTGCAGGAAGAGGCAGGCAGATCCCTGAGTTCAAAGCCTGCCTGGTCTACAAAGTGAGTTCCAGGACAGCCCAGCTACACAAAGAAACCCTGTTTAAAAAAAAAAAATCAAAAAATAAAACAGGTATGGTGGCACAGGCCTGTAATCTCAGCACAGATTACAGAGGCTGGAGGATCAGGAGTTCAAGGTCACCCTTGATATATTAACCTTGAGGCTAGTCTGACATACTTGAGATCCTGTCTCAAATGTGTGTGTGTGTGTGTGTGTGTGTGTGTGTGTGTGTGTGTGTGTGTGTGTGCGTGTGTGTTTCAGAAATTCCAGAGAGAAACCCAAGTTTAATACATGTTTAAACCCTTTGTGAGGGTCTTTGGTTTGGTTTGGTTTTTGGTTGCTTTTTTTAAAATGTTATTTATTTTTATTTCATGTATATCAGTGCATATACATGCATATATTTTGCCTGCATGTGTGTCTGTGTGAGGGTGTTGGATCCTCTGGAACTGGAGTTACAGATAGTTGTGAGCTGTCATGTGGAATTGAACCTAGGTTCATTTGGAAGGGCAGCCAGTGCTCTTAACCACTGAGTCATCTCTCCGGCCCTGGTATTTTTGGTTTTTTGAAATAGGGTTTCTCTGTGTAGCCTTGGCTGTCCTGGAACTCACTCTATAGACCAGGCTGTTCTTGGACTCAGAGATCTGCCTGCCTCTGCCTCCTGAGTGCTGGTTTAAGG